CAATGTTTTTCGTCTGCATGGTCTGCCACAGGACATTGTCAGTGACCGGGGCCCTCAGTTCACATCCAGCTTCTGGAAGGAGTTCTGCAGACTTATTGGTGCGTCTGTTAGCCTGTCGTCCGGCTATCATCCACAGTCTAATGGTCAGACTGAGCGGTACAACCAGGAACTGGAAACTGGATTAAGGTGTTTGGTGTCTCAAAGCCCTTCTCAGTGGTGCAATAAGCTGGTGTGGATTGAATACGCACACAATTCTCTCCCTGTTTCGTCTACTGGCATGTCCCCATTTCACTGTGTCAATGGTTATCAACCTCCTATGTTTGCAGACCTTGAGGACGAGGTGACTGTCCCTTCTGCTCATGCTCTGGTCCGTCGGTGCCACGTCACTTGGAGGAAGGCCCGTGCCGCCCTTGTTCAAGCCTCTGCCCGTTACAAGAAAGCGGCTGACCGGCATCGCACACCCGCCCCTTGTTACAGGGTGGGTCAGAAGGTTTGGCTCTCTACGAGGGATCTCCCCTTGAGAGTTGAAAGTCGCAAGTTGGCCCCCAGGTTTGTGGGTCCCTTCCCCATTTCCAAGGTCATCAGTCCTGTCGCTGTCCGGCTCCAGCTCCCACGTACCATGAAAGTCCACCCTACATTCCACGTCTCTAAGATAAAGCCCGCCATATCCAGCCCGTTGGTTCCCCCCTCCAGGCCCCCGCCGCCCCCCCGTGTCGTGGATGGTGCCCCTGCTTTCTCTGTGAGACGTCTCCTGGCTGTCCGCCGCAGGGGTCGGGGCCGGCAATATCTCGTCGATTGGGAAGGATACGGTCCTGAGGAGAGGTCGTGGGTGCCCGCCCGGGACATTCTGGATCCTGAGCTCGTCCGGGAGTTTCGTGCTCGCTCTGGGACTTCTGGTGCCGTCCCTTAGGTGGGGGGTGGTGTCATACCCCTGGTTTATTGGACATTTTATTTTGAAATACTTACCTGTTCGCTATGCTTTAGATTTACATCACTCCCTGTTTCCTGCCTGTGATTTGTTTGCCCCGCCCTAATGTGTTGCACCTGTGTTTGATTACTCTGTATATCACCCCACCTGTTCCTTTGGTCTTTGCCAGATTGTCTTTGTTTCCCTCATGTTCTGAGCTCTGGAGTGCTACCTAAGTTTGCTACTTTGTTTTTGCCAAATAAAGGCTTGGAATTATTTTTCGTTCTCCTGGCGTCTCTGCTCCTGGGTTTTCGTGTCTTAGGGGGCCGTGTGTTACAGTAGATCCAGGACTGAGGCTGTAGATCCAGGACTGAGGCTGTAGATCCAGGACTGAGGCTCTAGACTGTGGCTGTAGACCCAGGACTGAGGCTGTAGATCCAGGACTGAGGCTGTAGATCCAGGACTGAGGCTCTAGACTGTGGATGTAGACCCAGGACTGAGGCTGTAGATCCAGGACTGAGGCTCTAGACTGAGGCTGTAGACCCAGAACAGACTTCAAACATGGCTTTATATCCTCCATCTTCCTCCCTCTGCTTCCCTTCTCCCCATCTCCTCTCTTTCTCTGTTTCTTGACCCGGCTCTGTCCACTCCGTCCTCATCCAGATCCAGTCCTCATCATGAACCCCCCCCCCCCCCTGCCTCACATCAGCCCCTCAAGCTGGTTTATTGGATGCTGCTGAGATGAGGTGACAGCGCGCTCTGAAATATGGGCAAATTAAGAGCGCTTCTATGTGTAAACAAGGCAAATAAACAACCAGATCCATAAATCAGGCCAAGGCTCAGGGCGGTGGATCCTCGTTGACCTGTAATATTTGGAGGTTGTTTAGTGCAGCTTGGAGTTTTTTGCTGACTTAACGTTTGTCATTTATAGAAGCGCCACCGTGGACCATGCATTATTCACACATGAGAGCTTTTAAGAAAGATTGTAGCATGAATCATTATTGTTTCATGTGGATTATGGTCCAATCTGAATAATGTACAAAGAAGGACCAAAAGAAGAAGCAACGAAATCCTAAAAAAGCCAAAGGGATTTTTTGGTGTAAATAATCATAATGGAATATTTTCACATAGTTCTGTGTCTCCCCTCCCCGCCTGGGTGTCTTCTCAGTCCTGTTCCACCCAGCCTCAGTCCTCGTTCTACAGTCTCAGTCTGTAGACCCATGACTGAGGCTGTAGACCCAGGACTGAGGTTGTAGACCCAGGACTGAGGCTGTAGACCCAGGACTGAGGCTGTAGACCCAGGATTGAGGTTGTAGATCCAGGACTGAGGCTGTAAACCCAGGACTGAGGCTGTAGACCCAGGACTGAGGCTGTAGACCCAGGACTGAGGCTGTAGACCCAGGACTGAGGCTGTAGACCCAGGACTGAGGCTGTAGACCCAGGACTGAGGCTGTAGACCCAGGACTGAGGCTGTGGACCCAGGACTGAGGCTGTGGACCCAGGACCGAGGCTGTGGACCCAGGACTGAGGTTGTAGATTCAGACCGAGAATCTAGACCCAGGACTCAGGCTGTCGATTCTGGACTGAGGCTGTAGACCCAGGACTGAGGCTGTAGATCCAGGACTGAGGCTGTAGATCCAGGACTGAGGCTGTAGATCCAGGACTGAGGCTGTAGATCCGTAGACCCAGGACTGAGGCTGTAGACCCAGGACTGAGGCTGTAGACCCAGGACTCAGGCTGTCGATTCTGGACTGAGGCTGTAGACCCAGGACTGAGGCTGTATATTGGGGTTACAGACTAATCTCACCCAAAGCGCTTTAAAATGTTCAGAAATCAGATATTTTTCCGTTCACACATGCAAACTTCTAGCCACATCTGCCCTGGTGTAGTCTGACAGAAGCAAAAGAAGAATTTAATAATACGTCTTATTGCTGACATAGACACACACACGCACACACACACACCACGCTTTAATATGAATTTAATATTGTCTGGTCCTCATCATTTGAACTCCTCTGAGCCATAAGAAAAAAAGAATCCATTTAACATTTTGCAGAGATGAGCTGCCACTCCTCCTGCCACAGTCATCCCTCAAAGCCGCTCGTCTCATTTGACTTTAAGATCACGTCACGGCGAAGCAGACCGAGGACCAGGACGCTCCATATTTCATGTCCCAATAATGATAACAACAACGACACGACCATAAAACACTGGTAAAACTGATTTCTATCACTGTTTAAAAGTGGTGAGGAAATACTGCTGGGATTTTAGACCACGGCTTTTGTTTTACTGCAGTACTCGAGTATCCAAGACCAACTTTTAACATTCATTTAATTCACCCTGGGTCTGGGCTCAGTCCTGGTCTTGGTTCCGGTTTCAATACTGGTCTTGGTTCTGGTCTTGTTTCAGGTCTCAGTCCTGGTCTTGGGTCTGGTCTCAATACTGGTCGGGGTTCTGCTCTCAGTCCTGGTCTTGGGTCTGGTCTCAGTCCTGGTCTTAGTTCTGGTCTTAGTTCTGGTCATGGTCCTGGTCCTGGTCCTGGTCTTGGTCCTAGTCTTGGTCCTAGTCTTGGTCCTAGTCTTGGTCTTGGTCCTGGTCTGGATCCTGGTTCTCACACAGAAAAACGGGAATGAAACTCAAGCTGAAACTCGGGCTGAGGTCACGTATGTCTGTGTGTGTGTGTGTGTGTATCTGTGTGTATGTGTGTGTGTGTGTGTGTCTGTCTGTGTATCTGTGTGTATGTGTGTGTGTGTCTGTGTGTGTATATCTGTGTGTGTGTGTGTGTGTGTCTATGTGTGTGTGTGTGTGTGTCTGTCTGTGTATCTGTGTGTATGTGTGTGTGTGTCTGTGTGTGTATATCTGTGTGTGTCTGTGTGTGTGTGTGTCTATGTGTGTGTGTGCACCTGTGTGTGTGTGTGTGTGTACCTGTGTGTGTGTGTGTGTGTGTGTGTGTCACCAGCTCCTCCTGAACTCTGTGATTTTGGGAAGTCTGTAGAATACATAAATATTTTTCTATTTACCCTCATTTGAATGAAAACGACACAGATTTAAAAACAGTAACTCTCTTCGTGCTCTGTATAAATAAAAATCACTTACTTACTTTAAATTAAGGGTATTTGGAAGTAACATGTTCTGCCCCCGGAGCCTGAGATCATAAAGAGCCCACAGAGGGAAACTGTCTCCGGTTCTTTCTGCTCCAACGACATTAATGATTTTACACTTGTTCTTCGGGAAAGTCATTAGAGATTGTTGTGGTCTGTAAACACCACTTTTCACTTTTAATTATATCTCGAACAGCCAGTCAGCTTTTGTGTAATTGCCGTTTTTTAAGCATCTGTTTTTATGCAGAGGCTTGAGTCGGATAAAGTCTGTGTGACGTGTAATTATTATGATTATTATAATTATTACAAGGACAATGTGAAGGAAAATTAACTGTATTGTTTCATATCGAAGCTGCTTCAACAGATTACGTTTAATTTAGTGTCATATGGCCTCCTGCTGGGACTCTGAGGATCACAGGGACTGGCCTCCTGCTGGGACTCTGAGGAGCACAGGGACTGGCCTCCTGCTGGGACTCTGAGGAGCACAGGGACTGGCCTCCTGCTGGGACTCTGAGGAGCACAGGGACTGGCCTCCTGCTGACTCTGCTGGGACTCTGAGGAGCACAGGGACTGGCCTCCTGCTGGGACTCTGAGGAGCACAGGGACTGGCCTCCTGCTGGGACTCTGAGGAGCACAGGGACTGGCCTCCTGCTGGGACTCTGAGGAGCACAGGGACTGGCCTCCTGCTGGGACTCTGAGGAGCACAGGGACTGGACTCCTGCTGGGACTCTGAGGAGAAATGGAGGCCAGTGCTCCTCAACATGAGCAAATGCTGACTCCTCATGTTTAGTCCTCCGAGATAACTACTGCTGTGATTTAGGGCTGTGCAAAAATAAACTAAATTGATGTGGTTGTTCTACTGGTCTACTGAGCTTCCTAAACAACTGGACCTCGGTTTCACAAACAGTGATTGTTCCACTTGACAGCTGTTGTAATCACAGAGTGTCTCCTCTTTAGGCCTGGGACACAGCCCTGAAGTTTGATGGAGGGCCATGCTCTTCAAACAGCAGGCACAGCTCAAACAGAAGCTCCTGGTCCTGGGCAGTCTTGCTGTTGGGAGTGTGCTGTACCTGGTGGCCCACGTGGGGACTCTGCAGAGGTAAACCTAACCCTGGCTCAGACCATAGCCCTGTTTCCACCAGCCCTACTCTGCCAGTTCTTGGTTCTTCCATCTAGGCCTAGGGCTGGTACTAAAGTGTTCTAACTGACAGCGATTGGCCAGAGGGAAGCTGGAAGCCATGGTTACCAAGGAATTTCCCTGGATACTGGTTTGTTGTGGATAGTTACGGTACTAGTCAAAAATGTCATACTTAATCCTTGCTTCTTGATTATGCTATAGTTAGAGATTTTATATAATTTTTTTCACTTATCTTCCGCTGTGTCATACCTACTTAACTGGTGATGCAACACTGAAATTTCCCCACTGTGGGACAAACAAAAGGATCTTAATCTTGATACTAAAGCAAAATGAAAACACAACCAGGTCGAGTAGAGCTGGTGGAATCAGGGCTGTTCCAGTTCCAGACCTCCATAACTCTCATTACCTGAATGTTAAACAGTGTGTGTTGTGTGTCAGGCTGCAGCCGATCTGCCGAGTGGACCACAGACTGGTCCCTGGACCGGAGCAGATCCCCCTGCGGACTCTTCAGTTCAAACGTGCTTTGCTCCATGAGCTGCGCAGAGCCAATGGCAGCAGACAGCAGCTGGGGCTGCAGCGGCTGGTGCAGCAGCTGCCACAGGCTATCATCATCGGGGTCCGTAAAGGCGGCACACGGGCGCTGCTGGAGATGCTGCACCTGCACCCGGCCGTGGTCAAAGCCTCACAGGAAATACACTTCTTTGATAATGACAAGAACTACGCTCGAGGGGTGGAGTGGTACAGGAGCAAGATGCCCTTCTCTTTCCCTCAGCAGATCACCATCGAGAAGAGTCCTGCGTACTTCATCACAGACGAGGTCCCTGAACGCATCTTTAAGATGAACTCTTCCATAAAGCTGCTCATTATCGTGCGAGAGCCCATCACCAGAGCCGTGTCCGACTACACACAGGTGCTGGAGGGAAAAGAACGCAAGAACAAAACCTACCACAAGTTTGAGAAACTGGCCATAGACTCTGGGACGTCTGAGGTGAACACTAAGTACAAAGCTGTTCGCACCAGTATTTACACCAAACACTTGGAGCGCTGGCTCAAGTTCTTCCCTGTGGAGCAGTTCCATGTCGTGGACGGGGACCGCCTCATCGCAGACCCTCTGCCGGAGCTCACGCTGGTGGAGAAGTTCCTCAACCTCCCACCAAGAATCAGCCCCTTTAACCTTTACTTCAACGCCACCAGAGGATTCTACTGTCTGAGATTCAATATCGTGTTCAGCAAGTGCCTCGCCGGCAGCAAAGGGCGCATCCATCCAGAGGTGGACGCCGCGGTGCTGAGCCAACTGCAGCGATTCTACCACCCCTTCAACCAGAAGTTCTACCAGATCACCGGCCGGACCTTCACCTGGCCCTGACCTGCTCCTGGCCCTGACCTGCTCCTGGCCCTGACCTGCTCCTGGCCCTGACCTGCTCCTGGCCCTGACCTGCTCCTGGCCCTGACCTGCTCCTGGCCCTGACCTGCTCCTGGCCCTGACCTGCTGCTCCTGGCCCTGACCTGCTTCTGGCCCTGACCTGCTCCTGGCCCTGACCTGCTCCTGGCCCTGACCTGCTCCTGGCCCTGACCTGCTCCTGGCCCTGACCTGCTCCTGGCCCTGACCTGCTCCTGGCCCTGACCTGCTCCTGGCCCTGACTTGCTCCTGACCCTGACCTGCTCCTGGCCCTGGCCCTGACCTGCTTCTGGCCCTGACCTGCTCCTGGCCCTGACCTGCTCCTGGCCCTGACTTGCTCCTGACCCTCACTGCTCCTGGCCCTGGCCCTGACCTGCTTCTGGCCCTGACCTGCTCCTGGCCCTGACCTGCTCCTGGCCCTGACCTGCTCCTGGCCCTGACCTGGCCCTGACCCTGACCTGCTCCTGGCCCTGACCTGCTCCTGGCCCTGACTTGCTCCTGACCCTGACCTGCTCCTGGCCCTGACCTGCTCCTGGCCCTGACCTGCTCCTGGCCCTGACTTGCTCCTGACCCTGACTTGCTCCTGACCCTGACTTGCTCCTGACCCTGACCTGCTCCTGGCCCTGACCTGCTCCTGGCCCTGACTTGCTCCTGACCCTCACCTGCTCCTGGCCCTGGTCCTGACCTGCTTCTGGCCCTGACCTGCTCCTGGCCCTGACCTGCTCCTGGCCCTGACTTGCTCCTGACCCTGACTTGCTCCTGGCCCTGACCTGCTCCTGGCCCTGACCTGGCCCTGACCTGCTCCTGGCCCTGACCTGCTCCTGGCCCTGACCTGCTCCTGACCCTGACCTGCTCCTGGCCCTGACCTGGCCCTGACCTGGCCCTGACCTGCTCCTGGCCCTGACCTGCTCCTGACCCTGACCTGCTCCTGGCCCTGACCTGGCCCTGACCTGGCCCTGACCTGCTCCTGGCCCTGACCCTGACCTGCTCCTGGCCCTGACCCTGACCTGCTCCTGGCCCTGACCTCCACCTGCTCCTGTTGCAGACTCTGTGTTTAGAGGCATCGGTCTGCTCCAAACAAAGTACTTTTGATCTGCAGAAGAAAGAGTGAACATGGTTTCATTGTTCTTCATTATTAAAGCAGAGAATGTTGTAAACTTACTTTTACAAGAGAAATCTGCTGAAGTGTGAATTGAAGTCATTTTCAGAAACGTTGGCAGAAGCTTATTTTATGGACTAGTATTATTATTAGTTTAGACATACTGTATGCTTTAAACTTTTTCTTATTTATAATTTTATTGCTTTCAGTTTTCTGTTACACAATGTATTCATGTAAAACTGAACAGACTTCTTATTTAACAAATGTGTTTCGTTCTTGTTGGATTAAGATGATTTTCCCTTCACTACTATCAACACCATTAAACAGTGATTTACCTTAAATTAATCTGAATCCTGATTTAGATGCTTTAATTCAAACCCCGTCTTCTTCAGTCATCCAATCAAAACACAGGAGAATGAGCCGCGTTAAATGTATTACATTTAGTAAATTAATAACATTTACTTGTACTTTTTGTCACTTTTATGTTTTTGTCGTTCCATTAATTATCATTTTCAAGTTAGAACGGTAATAAAAGTGTAAATCTATTTGAATCTGATCTTGTTCAGGAGTGAGGGAAGGATGCAGTGATGCGGTCTCTGTGTGATGAAAAGGGAGCAGTGTCTGCAGTCAGAGCTCTCGATTCACCCCTCATTTGAAATTTCCCCACTGTGGGACGAATAAAGGATATGCTCTCTAATCTTGTCTCAGTCTACATCCCCTCCCTCACCTCTGGTCCTGAGCTTTGGGTAATGAAAGAAAGGATAAGATCACGGATGCAAGCGGTCCACATGAGTTTGCTCTGCAGAGAGGCTCGAGTGAGGAGCTCAGTCACACGAGAGGAGTTGGAAGTTGGCCTGGGAATGCCTCAGGATTCCCAGATTCTAAAGTATAATTGAAACACAACCAGGTAGAGTAGAGCCCATTAGAGTCGAGTAGGGCCAAGTAGGGCTGGTGGAAATAGGGCTCAAGACAGGACTAATGCACATATAATTTACCATAAAACATAGATTGGATGAACAAACATGTTGCATAAACTTGATCAACACACACATTTTAGGTCATAATAAAATATGGTAGAATGAAATAACAATAATTATAATAATGCGCTGTGAGGCCCCGCCCCCTTCACGCTGGCTCCGCCCCCTCGCCCTCCGCTGCTCTGAGCTGATGCCGAGTCCGAGAGATCCTCATCCCCGAATCTGAAACTTTGTGAAGAATAGTTGTAAACATGGCCTACACGACAGCGGGGGGGACCAAGAAGAAGGTGTGCTACTACTATGACGGTAAGACCCCCACAGGAGCCGGTGTTATGTGATGCTAGCGTTAGCCTCTGTGCTAGCTCATTAAGAGGTGTCTGAGCAGCTAGCATGCTAACGAGGGGGGGCTTAATGAGCGCAGAGGTGGGATTGCCAATTATACTCGGATTTATGGCAGATTTGTTCAATGTTTGGGCAATAACTGCGTGTTTACAGAGTGTTGGCACGTGTTGTGAGCGGGATGTGGAAAGTGGATGAGACGGAGGTGGTTTGTGTGGAGTCTCTGGGCTTCACACACATTGTCTGTGCGTGAAGACCCCTCCTCATCCAGCTGTGGGAACTGCACTCCAACCTGGAAAAAATGCAGGGATGATTGGTTTTAAAGCGTTTGAGACTCATGATGGAGGAATTACAATATGCAAAAGATTCTGGGATTATTTTTAATATTGACACATATTTTTTTATTTTTTTTATTTATTAATTTATTTCAGGCAATGGCAAAAGTGAGAAAACGAGGTAATTAAAAGCAATTAAGTAATATAAATAATATAAAGCAAAAAAAAAAAAAACGGACAAACACAATAAAAAAACAAACAAAAAAACAGTGTAAACAAAAAATGTATAAACAAAAATCTATGGTTTAACATGGCCACAATATTGACACATTTAGGAAAGATTGATTCTAGTTTTGCCAATTTGCCTTTGCAAGTAACAGGAAGTAACAGTAGGAGTGGGCAAAATATATCGTAGACAATAATATCGTGAAAGTCAATTTGAAGATATGCTTTTTTGTATTATCGTCCTTTGTTTTCCTTTTTACACACAAATTACAATTAGAGAAGGACAGATGCTCATTTGGTCTAATGTGTGCCCAAAAAGCCAATCACTGCTTTATTTGCACATTCCAGTAAATATTGAGCCTTTTTGTTCTTTCTGTGTTCCTTGAATTTGATTTTTAATATATGTAAGCGCATGTTTTGCAAAGATGTGTGAAGAACTTTACAAATAAAAAGCCTCTATTTAGAGCTACACTGTCTCTTTCTATAGATGCCCTGGCAGCAAAACATTACAGATCATTTTGTGTAAAAAATGATTGATTTGAAAGATATTGTGACAATAATGTTATCAGGAGTTGGAAAAAAAATATTGAGATTTTAATTTTTGTCCATATCGCCCACACCTAACTAGAACCTGAAAAAATGCAGTGATAATTGATTTTAAAGCGGTTGAGACTCTTGATGGAGGAATTACAATACGCCAAAGATTCTGGGATTATTTGTAAAATTAATTTGACACATTTAGGAAAGACTGAATTCTTGTATTGCCAATTTGCCTTTGCAAGTAACAGGAAGTAGTAGTAGTAGACAAGGAATTTGCTTCAATGGGACTAAAGGATGGCTTTGTAAAAACTGCACCAACATCTGTGCTGCTTTCCTGAGCTGCAGCAGGAAGTTTTACCACAGAATTAAAAAATTAAGAATATATTTTGATCTAAGCTGGTGCACATGACTCGTGAATGCATTTGACTGCTTTTCACTGTTCGATACGAGTGACTGAAATCAATTATCTCTTCCAGGCGACATTGGGAATTATTATTACGGCCAGGGACATCCCATGAAGCCACATCGCATCAGAATGACCCATAACCTTCTCCTGAACTACGGCCTGTACAGGAAAATGGAGATCTATGTAAGTGTCAAAAACTAAACCTAAACTCTACTTTAATTTAATTTATCCACAGACGTCAGAAACTGTTTACTCATTCTGTATCGTCGTCTTCACAGAGACCTCACAAAGCCACAGCAGAAGAAATGACCAAGTACCACAGCGACGATTACATAAAGTTCCTGAGATCGATAAGGCCTGACAACATGTCCGAGTTCAGCAAACAGATGCAGCGATGTGAGTTCTGTTCTGGATGTTTTTGGGCTAGGGTTAGATAACACTCTTCACCTTTAGCGGCCGCATCTTTTGTGTGTATTTGTGCCCGCTGCAAAGTCCGAAGAAAACATTTGTGGCTTGTGTGTACCGCTGTGATGAGTTCAGAATACTCTCTCTCTCTCTCTCTCTGTCTCTCTCTCTCTGTCTCTCTCTCTCTCTCTCTCTCTCTCTGGTCTCTCTCTCTCTCTCTCTGGTCTCTCTCTCTCTCTCTCTCTGGTCTCTCTCTCCTCTCTCTCTGGTCCATCTCAGGTGTCTCTCTGTCTGGTCTTTCTCTGCTCTCTTTCTCTGGCCTCTCTCTGGTCTCTATCTGGTCTCTCTGTTTTCTCTCTCTCTGGTCTCTGTCTCAGGTCTCTCTCTCAGGTCTCTCTCTGTCTGGTCTTTCTCTGCTCTCTTTCTCTGGCCTCTCTGGTCTCTATCTGGTCTCTGTCTCAGGTCTCTCTCTCAGGTCTCTCTCAGGTCTCTCTCAGGTCTCTCTCAGGTCTCTCTCTGTCTGGTCTTTCTCTGCTCTCTTTCTCTGGCCTCTCTCTGGTCTCTATCTGGTCTCTCTGTTTTCTCTCTCTCTGGTCTCTCTCTCTGGTCTCTGTCTCTGGTCTCTCTCTCTGGTCTCTGTCTCAGGTCTCTCTCTCAGGTCTCTCTCTGTCGGGTCTTTCTCTGCTCTCTTTCTCCGGCCTCTCTCTGGTCTCTATCTGGTCTCTCTGTTTTCTCTCTCTCTGGCCTCTCTCTGGTCTCTATCTGGTCTCTCTGTTTTCTCTCTCTCTGGTCTCTCTCTCTGGTCTCTGTCTCAGGTCTCTCTCTCAGGTCTCTCTCTGTCTGGTCTTTCTCTGCTCTCTTTCTCTGGCCTCTCTCTGGTCTCTATCTGGTCTCTGTTTTCTCTCTCCCTGGTCTCCTTCTGGCCCTCCCGTAGCGCTCACACCTGCTCCGGCCCCTCAGTGTCCTCTGTAGAGAAACTGAGGCATAATTTTTGCACGCAACAAACCCAATTGTCAGTGATATTTCCAACACAAACCATTAAAGTCCAAACTTTGCTAATTCAACACATTTGTACAAACGCTGCAGCTTTGTGAAGTTGTTTCTCTGTTTCAGTCAACGTGGGTGAAGACTGTCCCGTGTTTGACGGTCTGTTTGAGTTCTGTCAGCTCTCGTCTGGAGGCTCGGCTGGTAAGAACACATCATGCTTTTTCAAGTGATTAGAAACGTTATTAGTTTTTGGGGAGAAATTCTTTGAGTTGAGTGGGAGCAGTCCAAATTGTCGCCCCTGGGAGTTCTAGTAGTGTCATATTTATGGGAGTCTTAGTGTTAAATATATGACCTGTTCTTGCGCTCAGCTGGCTCCGTGAAGCTGAACCGGCAGCAGACTGACATCGCGGTGAACTGGGCTGGAGGTCTTCACCACGCCAAGAAATCTGAAGCGTCTGGGTTCTGCTACGTCAACGACATCGTGCTTGCCATCCTCGAGCTGCTCAAGTTGGTTCAAGCTCTTGTTCTGCTGTTGTTACTGAAGAATAGATTGAATCGTATGAATTGAATGTGTTTTGTTGTCATACTGCACAGATACCACCAGAGGGTGCTGTACATAGACATCGACATCCACCACGGAGACGGCGTGGAGGAGGCCTTCTACACCACAGATCGGGTCATGACTGTGTCTTTCCACAAATACGGAGAGTACTTCCCTGGAACTGGAGACCTCAGGGTGAGAGACATTTAAGAGAAGACAACGGAAACTTTATTTGTCCCACTGTGGGAAAAAGTTCAGTGCACAGGACTGTAGTGAGAGCTCACAATATACAGTGCCTTGCGAAAGTATTCGGCCCCCTTGAACCTTTCAACATTTCGCCACATTTCAGTCTTCAAACATAGATATAAAATTTAAATTTTTTGTCATGAATCAACAAGTGGGACACAATCGTGAAGTGGAACGAAATGTATTGGATGCTTTAAACTTTTTTAACAAATAAAAAACTGAAAAGTGGGGCGTGCAATATCATTCGGCCCCTTTACTTTCAGTGCAGCAAACTCAGTCCAGAAGTTCAGTGAGGATCTTTGAATGATCCAATGTTGTCCTAAATGACTGATGATGATAAATAGAATGCACATGTGTGTAATCAAGTCTCCGTATAAATGCACCTGCTCTTTGATAGTCTCAGGGTTCTGTTTAAAGCGCAGAGAGAACCATGAAGACAAAGGAACACACCAGGCAGGTCCGAGATACTGTTGTGGAGAAGTTTAAAGCCGGATTTGGATACAAAAAGATTTCCCAAGCTTTAAACATCTCAAGGAGCACTGTGCAAGCAATTATATTGAAATGGAAGGAGTATCAGACCACTGAAAATCTACCAAGACCCGGCCGTCCCTCCAAACTTTCATCTCAAACAAGGAGAAGACTGATCAGAGATGCAGCCAAGAGGCCTATGATCGCTCTGGATGAACTGCAGATAACTACAGCTGAGGTGGGAGAGTCTGTCCATAGGACAACAATCAGTCGTGCACTGCACAAATCTGGCCTTTATGGAAGAGTGGCCATTTCTCAAAGATATCCATAAAAAGTCTCGTTTAAAGTTTGCCACAAGCCACCTGGGGGACACACCAAACATGTGGAAGAAGGTGCTCTGGTCAGATGAAACCAAAATCAAACTTTTTGGCCACAATGCAAAACGATATGTTTGGCGTAAAAGCAACACAGCTCATCACCCTGAACATACCATCCCCGCCTCAGCTGTAGTTATCCGCAGTTCATCCAGAGTGATCATGGGCCTCTTGGCTGCATCTCTGATCAGTCTTCTCCTTGTTTGAGATGAAAGTTTGGAGGGACGGCCGGGTCTTGGTAGATTTGCAGTGGTCTGATACTCCTTCCATTTCAATATAATTGCTTGCACAGTGCTCCTTGAGATGTTTAAAGCTTGGGAAATCTTTTTGTATCCAAATCCGGCTTTAAACTTCTCCACAACAGTATCTCGGACCTGCCTGGTGTGTTCCTTTGTCTTCATGGTTCTCTCTGCGCTTTAAACAGAACCCTGAGACTATCAAAGAGCAGGTGCATTTATACAGAGACTTGATTACACACAGGTGCATTCTATTTATCATCATCAGTCATTTAGGTTCTCTCTATTTCTATCTCAGTTTTCTCTTTGTCTCTCTTTCTCTCAACTCTTTCTCTCTCGCTCTCTTCCTCTAATTCTTTTCTCTCTCTCATCTCTCTCTCTAAACTATGTCTCCCTCTGTGTTTCTCTTTCCCTCTATCCCGCTCTCTCAACTCTTTCTCTCTCTCTCTCTCTATCTCTATCTCTATCTCTCTATCTCTCTCTCCATCTCTGGGAGGATAATGAGCAGCTAAAGTGACATTCAGTGGACATTCTGAAATGGTATTGCCCATGATTGCAGTATTAACAGATGACATGTGCAGACTCGGCAGTTCTCAGCACAGTCTGTGTTTGGACTCACACTTATATATTTGTTTATAAATTTGTCATCATTTGTTCAGTGAACGTTACATGTGTTGATGTGTAGGATATCGGAGCTGGGAAAGGCAAATATTACGCGGTGAACTTCCCTCTGAGAGACGGCATCGACGACGAGTCGTACGAGCAAATCTTCAAACCAGTGAGTTTTCCACTCTTTGAATTGAATATTGAATTTCTGGTATAGTTTTTTTTATTTTACTCTCCCTTGCCTCTCTCTGGTCTCTCTCTCTTGTCTTTCTTTCCAGGGTCTCTCTCTTGTCTCTCTCTGGTCTCTCTCTAGTCTCTCTGGTCTCTCTCTATTCTCTCTGGTCTCTCTCTAGTCTCTCTCTGGTCTCTCTCTAGTCTCTCTCTGGTCTCTCTCTGGTCTCTCTCTCTGGTCTCTCTCTTTGCCTCTCTGGTCTCTCTCTGGTCTCTCTCTAGTCTCTCTCTGGTTTCTCTCTCTGGTCTCTCTCTGGTCTCTCTCTTTGCCTCTCTCATGTCTCTCTTTACCTCTCCCTGGTCTCTCTCTTTGCCTCTCTGGTCTCTCTCTGGTCTCTCTCTAGTCTCTGTCTTTGCCTCTCTCTAGTCTCTGTCTTTGCCTCTCTCTGGTCTCTCTCTGGTCTCTCTCTTTGCCTCTCTCATGTCTCTCTCTGGTCTCCCTTGCTCATGTCTCTCTCTGGATCATAAAAGTGTGATATTTGCAGGTCATGGCCAAAGTGATGGAGATGTATCAGCCCAGTGCCATAGTCCTTCAGTGCGGAGCAGACTCTCTGTCCGGAGACCGACTCGGCTGCTTCAACCTCACCATCCGAGGTACGACGGCTTCCTCTGCTTCTGCTTCATTTGAACTGTACTCGGCTAGAATCGTTAATGCCTCTGTGCTTTCCTCAGGACATGCCAGGTGTGTGGAGTACATGAAGTCCTTCAACCTGCCGCTGCTGATGCTGGGAGGAGGAGGCTACACCATCAGGAACGTGGCTCGGTGCTGGACCTACGAGACCGCGGTGGCCCTGGACACCGAGATCCCTGATGGTGAGTCTATATCTGTGTTCAGGTGTCCAGCAGTAGAATCCCATACAAACAAATAAATCCATCATTATAAAGTAGCTGGTAAGGATATTGTTTCTAGTGTATTTTCACCCTCCTATTTTTGTAACGTTTGTGTGTTGCAGAACTTCCGTACAACGACTACTTTGAATATTTCGGACCAGATTTTAAACTTCACATCAGTCCATCCAACATGACCAACCAGAACACACAGGAGTACATGGACAAGATCAAGTACGCTCTGTTCTGAACTCTTTCTCTCTGTCTCTCTCGGTCTGAGCCTCTCTGTCTCTCTAGGTCTGAGCCTCTCTCTCTCTCTCGGTCTGAGCCTCTCTCTCTCTCTCGGTCTGAGCCTCTCTCTCTCTCTCGGTCTGAGCCTCTCTGTCTCTCTCGGTCTGAGCCTCTCTCTCTCTCTCTCGGTCTGAGCCTCTCTCTCTCTCGGTCTGAGCCTCTCTCTCTCTCTCGGTCTGAGCCTCTCTGTCTCTCTCTCTGTCACTGTCTGTCTCTGAGCATCTCTGTCACTGTCTCTCTCTCTCTGTCTGAGCATCTCTCTTTGTCTTAGTCTCTCTCTCTCTCTCCCCCAGGCAGTCTGAGCCTCTCACTCTCTCTGTCTCTCTCTGTTCTGAGCATCTCTCTCTCTGTCTGAGTCTCTCTCTCTCCCCCAGGCAGTCTGAGCATCTCTCTCTCTGTCTGGGCATCTCTCTCTGGCAGCCTGAGCCCCGCCCATATGCTAATGTAGCTTCCTGACAGCTCCCTTTTACAAAACGCCAACAAACTTTAAAAATGGAATGTATATGACTTGTGTGACAATGAAGTTTTGTAAATAAATAGAGAAGAGAACACCCCTCTCCCTCTATCTCTCTCTGACTCTTTCTCTGTCTCTAACTCCATACATTTCTATAACTCTCTTTTAACTATATATATATATCTCTCTCTCTCTCTCTCTCACTCTCTCTCTCACTCTCTCTCTCACTCTCACTCTCACTCTCTCACTCTCACTCTCACTCTCACTCTGTGTGTGTGTGTAGGCAGCGTCTCTTTGAGAACCTGCGCATGTTGCCTCACGCTCCTGGGGTGCAAATGCAGGCCATCCCAGAGGACGCCATTCCAGACGACATCGTGGACGAGGACAAGGAGGACCCAGACAAGCGCCTCTCCAGTAAGGACCACCACACGAGCGTTCATGGAAAACTGTCAGACCAAAAAAAAACAATCTGAGGCTGCATGGAACTGGGAACACACATAGTTTTGAGTTCGAAATGCGAAGACAGAGAAGGTGGAAAAAAGCACAATGACTGACACTTATGATGGGAAAAAATGATATAACATGAGGTAATAATGGCTTGAAATTAGTGTTTTTTGTTATATTAATCTGAGACATTCTGACGTTTTACAACAAGATTCTCCAATGGGAAAAAGCCACTCTGCTGATTAATACCAGTCTAATAGAATGGTATGTACTGAAGATAAGTTTTTGGCCATGTATCGCTCAGTTCTTAGTTTCAAGCAACAGGCGTAGGTTCATTTAGACAATTTTTTATTTTTACTTTATCCCTTTCTTTTACTCTATCTCTTCATTTTAACAGAGGGAGGAGTGGGGTTCAAAGGAGCATTTTTAAAAATTATTATTGAAATGAATGAATGCATTATTTTTCATTTTGTCATTACTTATTGTGTGTTATGGAAGTATGAGATGATAATGAGATGATTCGTCTCAAGGGGCTTTCCAACTGAAATAAATAGCTAAATAAAAACAGACTGAGTTAAGATCATAAACTAACGTGCTTGTATCGTCTCAGTCCGAGCCACAGACAAGAGAATCGCGTGTGACGAGGAGTTCTCCGACTCTGAAGACGAAGGAGAAGGCGGCAGGAGGAACGTGACCAGCAACAAGAAGGGAACCAAGCGGCCGCGAGTGGAGGACGACAAGAAGGAGGCGGAGGACAAGAAGATGGGTACGTCACACTTTTAGAGAAACACAAACCTTCCGATCCGCGGTAATTTAATTAACTATGTGTTTCCTTTTCAGAAATTAAAGAGGAGGAGAAGGCGAAGGACATTGGTGCTGAAAAAACTGATTCTAAAAGGTAGTACCACGTGTTTTACTTTTGTTCTGTGTAGACATAAATTGTGACGATCAAAGCAGTCTGGGAAATCCACCTATTGTGAGAATAACTTTTCTAATAAACCTTAATGGAGTCAAAATGAAGGGTCTTTAAACTCTACTCTAAAGCCCTAGTCACATATAAACAAGTCCTGTGTATTTCCCTGCATTCGCACCCATCGCTACTGTTCAGATAAACGCACAAGAAGCAGGAATGTGTGCTTCGTCATCATATATTATTGTTAATGAGAACAGCACGGTGGCTGAGTGGATAGCACTCTCGCCTCTCAGCAAGAAGGTCCTGGGTTCGAATCCCGGTCGGACCAGGGCCTTTCTGAGTGGAGTTTGCATGTTCTCCCCGTGTCTGCGTAGGTTTCCTCCGGGTACTCCGGTTTCCCCTACCACTAAAAATATGTACAATAGGTCTGGCATGTGCCTCCTGTACTGGCCCCGCTCCCATCTCTGTGTGGAGTGAGAGACAAATGCCCAAAATTAACAATTGTAAACCGCTTTGAGACTCAGATCTGCAGTGAAAAGGCGGTATATAAATAAAAACTTACTTACTTACTTGTCGTCCATTGTTCAACCATTTCGCTCCATCAGCTGTATTTGCTCCTGTCTCTGCTGTTCACATAAACGCACGAGAAGCGGGAATGTGAGCTACGCCACCTTATATTATTGTTAATGAGAACAGCAGAGTTTTTATGTGTGTGAATTATTTGGACTCAAGTGCTGTTATGGATGGATTTCGGTCGATTCGCCAACACAGATCAGAGAATCAAACTGTTCAAACTCCAAAAATGCAGAGATCAAAAGCACATAGAGCCATTTGTCCATAAAGAGGAGAGACCAATGACCATAAAAGTCGTGGATAAGGGGCGTCAACCTCATATTTGCAAGGGGCCAAATACAAAAAATGTAAGAGCTGTTGAGGCCAGTAATGTTTTCTTTCCTTATAATTATTATTGTTTACATTATTTTGTACTTTGACATGAGTTTGGGTGTTATTTTCAACCACAACTGGACCTAATGTCAAGTAGAGATAATTCTTGACTATAAAAAACTTATCTTCAACCTTAACCTTCTCAAAGTCTGAAGATATGTGTGATAAATGTTCTGCAGGTTTTAAACAAATCAAACTTTCTAAACTTCTGATTAGTTAAATTATGTGGTTGTTCTCCTGAAAAAAGTATAACATGGCGTAGTATCCCATTGTTTTCACTGCTGCAAGTTACTGTAAAAATAATTAGCGAAAATCAGGGGCCGCTAAAAATTGGCCGAGTTCAGCCCACGGGCCTGATGTGCACCACTCTAAGAGAATTGTGTGTTTTTTCCTCAGTGTGAAAACGGAGCAGACCAGCAGTGCCTGAATACGCCGCGCCGCCCCCCCCCCCCCCCCCCCCCCCCTCCTCTGGTGCCCCCCCCCCCCCCCCCTCACTATTAATCAGCGTTATATTTATTCTGTGTATGTTTGTGTCAAGTCCATTGTCAGTTCCGACCGTGGTTCTGGAGCTTGGTCCGTTGTTCTCCACGTTCTCGGTCTCGACTGTTTTTAACGAAATCCTGTCGTCTGCATTAAATCATTAATTTTGATATTTTGCATTTATCAATAAAAATTTTTTTATACAATCTGCTTTCCTTGAGGTGTGGTCTGTTCGGGTGTTGTTTCTGACTTTCAGGTGGATCCATGTGGAAGACTGACACCGTTTAAGAGTCCATAAAGAAACTAGAATCTAAACGACGGCTGGAGTCAATGTGAGTGACTGTAAATAAAAACAAAGTCAAACAAAACAGGAAATGGAAGAAAAGCAAAGCATTATTACAATATTAAACCCTTGCTACACTTTTATACCCCAATATGATACTTTGATCAAAGAGGGAAAAGTACAGGACGACCACGAAAAAACAGGTTCTTAAATTCAATGGGACTTTCCTGATTAAGCTGTTTTTTCAATAATTTTAAGAACAAATAATCTGAAAATCCGTCACAATCCTCCTTCATTCTGAATAATTCTGAAAGATTGTAACGGGTTTTTTAGGATCCATAAATAAACCCGATAAGACACGAGTAAATGTTTTCAATAATTTTATTTAAAGAACAAATACTACAAAAGATGCACATATTTTCCCTCATGGATAAATCCGAAAGAAACGTGAAAAGTTATTTTTATTGTCCCACTTTGGGAGGTTGGTTTTGCAGCAAACGATCTAAAACAAGCAGATTCAGTAAAATCACTAATCAACTAATTTCACAGCTGTTGGAATAAATGTGTTTCCCGTTTTGTCCGAAGCCCCAGAGCCCTGTAGCGTCTCCTGAGGTAAAAGTACTGGTACAAACACGTGAACAAAGATTAAAGAGTTGATTCCCGATAATTGAGCACATCCATGAAACACACTTAAATCTGGCAAAAGAAGAAGACTATGCCCTAAATGATCAGTCTATGGGCAAAACGACATGAAAGCGTATTTAAGTTAACCTTTAGGTTAGGGGTCTCTAATGAAAGCCCCCCAAAAAGGAGTTTTATGGCCCCCTAGTGGACATTAAAGTGTATCGTCTGACCCCCACAGAGTCTGGGCAAATAATTGGACAGGTAATTTTATCACCTCGGCACGGTGGCTGAGTGGATAGCACTCTCGCCTCTCAGCAAGAAAGGTTCTGGGTTCGAATCCCGGTCGGACCAGGGCCTTTCTGAGTGGAGTTTGCATGTTCTCCCCGTGTCTGCGTAGGTTTCCTCCGGTTTCCCCTACCACTAATAATACTGTATGTACAATAGGTCTTGCTTGGCGACCCCGCTCCCATCTCTGTGCGGAGTGAGAGACAAATGCCCAAAAAAAAAAAAAAAAAACAATTGTAAACCGCTTTGTGACTCTGGTCTGAGAAAGGCGGTATAAATAAAGATTACTTGCTTACCTCTCTCTCTCTCTCTGTCTCTCTCTCTCCTCCCACTTTTGTTCTTATCTGAACATCATTTTTTGTCCATCTTCTTCCCCTTAATCCATTTATTCAAAGTGGGTTAAGTGTCTTGCCCAAGGACACAACGGCAGCAGACATCAGTGGGAGTTGTGAAGTAGGTGGTCCCACACTCACCCCAGACTGATCGCTCCTCCTCTTCCTCCCGGGAGAGCCTCAATCCTTTTGTGTGTGTAAAATAAATATCATTTTTACATACAACATAAAAACATGTGTCTTATATTCAAGTGCGGCCTATATTTGGACAAAATGTACGTTCTTTTCCAAATGCAGCTGGTGTGGTTCATCAACAAGTGCGCTTAAAAAGTCCTAATACTGTAGATCAGGTGTCTCCAACCTTTTTTACTCAGAGAGCTACTTTCCCGGGACGGTATATTTGATGATATAATGTTAGTAGCGACAAAGTAAGTGCATTTACAATAATACATAATGATAAAGAATACTACAATCTTTAAGTATATTATTTGATAGGTTCATTTCTAAATCCTTTGGCGAGCTACCTGGAAGGAGGTGGCGAGCTACTGCTGTTCCTGAGCTACAGGTTAGAGACCCCTGCTGTAGATGAGGACGAGTTCTTCCGTTTCGCCTGCAGGTGGCGATAGAGACTTAGCAGCCAAAGTCTCATGAGGCTCTTCTCTGTAATAATCTGAAAATCCGTCACAATCCTCCTTCTTAATTTTGAATAATTCTGAAAGATTGTAAACGGGTTGTTTTATATGATCCATAAATAAACCCGATAAGACACGTGTAAATGTTTAACTGCTGCTGTGGCCGTAAACCGGGACAGTGTTGATTCATGTTGATGATCCCACAATTTTATGAAAATTTACAACCCTTTATAGACCTGCGACTTTACAAGAGCAACGAGTGGATTTGAGGAGAAGGAAATGTAGTAGAAAGGTCAGAAATCAGGAGCACTTTGAGAATCTGTGAGAAAATACAGTGAGGATTAAACGGGAAAAATGTCCGAGGCTTTGGTCTGAAAAGATACAAAAGATTTAGATTTAAGGCCATTTGTTCATATTTATGGGCAGTGGTTTTCCTGCTCCCTATGAACCAATCACAGTCATTCTTGTATCGTCCTAAATCACAGCACTAGTAATCCCGAAGAACAACAGATCAGACACAAGACATTAGTAATTTTTAAGTAGTAAGTATTATGTAGCACCTTTCACAGACCAGAGTCACAAAGCGGTTCACAGATGGGTGGGCATTAGTCTGTCGCTCCACACAGAGATGGGAGCGGGGGTCAGTACAGGAGGCACAGACCTATTCTACATGTTTTTAGAGGTAGGGGAAACCGGAGTACCTGCAGAAATCTACACAGACACGGGGAGAACATGCAAACTCCACTCAGAAAGGTCCTGTTCCGACCGGGATTCGAACCCGGGACCTTCTTGCAGAGACCAAGGTCCATAAATGTTGATTAAGTCTATATACAGTATGTAGTTGAATGAGTCCTGGATCATCACCACTGAACCTGCTGCTGCTGTGATTTAAGGTTATACAAAATAAGTATAATTGTTTCATACGGAGCGGTTAACATTGTCCATGAATATTAATTAACTGATTGACTGCAGCCGTTTTTGATGCTTTCACTGATTTTCAAGACCCACAGAATATTGTGTGCTATGACTATGTGAAATGTGAAACCAGATTCTGAAAGACTGAACCGTCTACTTTTATCAGCTAAAATAAGTTGGTTTCTTGCTATTTTTGTTCTCCTGTAATCCCCAGTCCAATAGAGGGAAGTCTGACAGAAATCACCCGTCTCAGACAAATACGTCACTGGCAGTCAATAGCATGAGTTAATGAATGGCCTTAAATCTTAACAATAAGAACAGGATTAGTATCTTCTAGATCAGAACCTCGGACATTTTTCCACTTTAATCCTCTCCTTATAAACTGATTAATTTCTTCTACATTTCCTCCTTCATAAATCCACTGGTTCTTCTTGTAATGTCGCTCCATAAACTTTTATAAATGTCCATAAATATCTGGGATCATCTCCACTGTCCGCTTAGACCAGACCATTAAAGGTGGCCCTTGAAATCTGTTTGAATTATTATTATTATTATTATTATAACCTGCACCATTGATGGTAATAAAATACGATGTCATGTTGTACTTAAATTTAATTATTTTCTTTGTTCTAAAATGTGATTAGATGTTACGTTTATATTTAGATTGTATATTTTGCTTATTTTTTTTACATTTGACCCAGTTGTGATTGAATCTTAATACACTAGAAAATAATGTCCAAATTAATGTCAAATAAAATGTATTTGTCAAGATACAAAAATGTGTAAACAAAAAGAAAGATGATCCTTTCGGCCCAAACCACTTCTTTTGTTGACCCCGACCAAAATGAGATGGACCTGAGTCTGAGAGGAACAACTCTGAAAACCCAGTGGGAGAAACTGATAATGACTGATGAAGAAGGAGGAGGCCATGTGTTTGTTGTTGCTGCACTTCCTGTGTTTGATTTTCTGATCTGTTGCGAATCGACAACTTTGTGAAGTCCTCACAACACACGACGCTGTTGTGATTTAGGGCTTCACTTTGTAATAAATAAAAATGTTGGAGTAAGAAGTATTTTTGTGTCTATAATTGGATCTGGTTTATTCAAGCACCTGTTGAGCTGTCTGTGCGGGGTTTGCATGTTCTCCCTGTGTCTGCCTATAGGACTTTGTATTTGCAGTTACTGCAGTTCATGAGTATACAGTATGTGTATTTACAGTTACTGCAGTTCATGAATATACAGTATGTGTATTTACAGTTACTGCAGTTCATGAGTATACAGTATGTGTATTTACAGTTACTGCAGTTCATGAGTATACAGTATGTGTATTTACAGTTACTGCAGTTCATGAGTATACAGTATGTGTATTTACAGTTACTGCAGTTCATGAGTATACAGTATGTGTATTTACAGTTACTGCAGTTCATGAACACACACCGTCCAAAGAAATACATACAATAAACCTTATGTCCTTTTTAATCAGATGGACACAGTAGTGATAGTGACTGTGGCAGTAAATAAACATGACATCATGGAAGCTCTGTGTACGGCAATAAACTGTGTGTGTGTGTGAGAGAGAGTGTGAATGTGTGTGAGAGAGAGAGTGTGTGTGTGTGTGTGTGTGTGTGTGTGTGTGTGAGTGTGTGAGAGAGAGAGTGTGTGTGACATTCAGCCACATTCATGGACATTGGTCTCTGCTCTTTATGGACCAACGGCTCATTATTTTTTATTGTTGCATTTTGTGTGTTTGAACTGTTTCTCTGATCTGTTGTTGGTGAATCGACAACCCTCCCACCACAGTGTGTATCTATGTATATGTGTGCACGATGTGTGTATCTATGTATATGTGTGCATGTGTATCTGCGTGTGTACGTATGTATGATATCTCTGAGTGTGTGTGTGAGCATGTGTATATCTATGTGTGTAATATGTATGTGTATGTGTGTGTGATATCTGTGTGTGTATCTTTGTATATGTGTGTGTATATTTATGTATATGTGGATGTGTGTGATATCTGTGTGTATCTGTGCGTGTGTGTATGTAATATCTGTGTGTGCGTCATATAAGTGTGTAATATCTGTGTGTGTATAGTTGTGTAATATCTGTGTGTGTAATATCTGTGTGTGTGTATCTATGTATATATGTATGTAATATCTGTGTGTGTGTGTGTATATATATGTGTGTATCTGTGTATGTGTATATATGCGTGTGTGTATATGAAACTGTTTGTATTTGTGTTTTGTGTGTGTGAGTGAAGCTGTAGAACAAAGGGACCAGTGAGAACGTTGTTAGGACTATAAATCTAGTCACATTTTATTCACATTTTTCTCTGGTGTTTTCTCCAAAACAAAGAGACATTTAAAAAGCATTTCTTTAGCAACGTTACATTCTCCATCTCAAAGTCCAATAGGCCTTTTCACTATTTACACAAAGGAAAGGAGAACAGACGGCACAGTGTAGACAGCGACGCTCCCAACGCCACAGTTTGGTCAAAGTCGTTCTGGGTTTGATTCTGAGTGAGTTTCAAAATGACTTTTTGTGTAATCGGCAACTTCAGGTGCTCCATGAGATGTTTGTACAATAATCACAGTTAACCCTTCCCCTGTACATACTTACATCGGACAATACGGTCAGAAAAGCAACACCAAAACCTACAGTCGCTGAAGGAGAGAGCGGAGGCAGCGTCAGTAATGGTCCTCACATGGTCCTCTACAGAGTCCTCACATGGTCCTCTACAGAGTCCTCACATGGTCCTCTACAATGATCAGATAAGAGGTAATAATCGCTTCAATCAAGTGGTTTTTATCTTAATCTGACACATTCAGACTGACTTTAAACAAAACCATTTATTTTATTTCCAGAACATTGTGGATAATTTTGCTTTGTCCCTTTGGAAAATCTTGTTTGTCAGAATGTGTCAGATTAAGATAAAAACCACTTGACTCAAGCGATTACTACCTCATATTTCATCACTTTTCGCAGAGTGGACCTGGTCCCAGACTGAGCTTAGATGGATCCTGTCTGGACCTGGTCCCAGACTGAGTTTAGATGGATCCTGTCTGGACCTGGTCCCAGACTGAGTTTAGATGGATCCTGTCTGGACCTGGTCCCAGACTGAGTTTAGATGATCCTGTCTGGACCTGGTCCCAGACTGATTACAGACTCTGTGGTGATGACCCTCCCTCCACTGACTGCTGTACCCCTGGCCATGTCCTTTATACAATTTGTATAAAAATTCCAAAATAAAAATAATACTGTTTAAAAAATATATGGCTGGTTCTTGTTAATTGGATTTACAAATCAAAGCCACCCGCTGTGAGCTCGGGCCGAGCAGGTTTTGTGTCAGGGGCCAATGGGACAGGGCTAAAGTTGAAATCTGTTTGAGTTCTGACGCTGGCCTCCAGGGGGCAGTGTCACTCCACGCTCTCCACAGGGGCTTTAGCTGCTGCCTCCTGAGCGGGTGCTGGCTCTTCTGCAGCAGGGGCCGCTTCTACTGGAGCCGGTTCCTCTTTGGGGGCCTCCGGGGCGAGCTCAGTAGGCTTCTCCTCTGCTTTAGGCTCCTCTGTGGGAGCTGCCGGTTCAGCTGCACGGGCCTCAGCCTCAGCTTTGGGCTCCTCTGTGCTGGGGGCTGCCTCTGCCTCAGCTTTGGGCTCCTCTGTGCTGGGGGCCACCTCTGCCTCAGCTTTGGGCTCCTCTGCAGCGACCTGTGGGGCCTCAGGCTTCTCCTCCGCCGCCTCAGGGGCCTCGCCGGTCTCCTTCTTCATTTTCTTGAAGGAGAATCCGCTGAGTTTGAAAGACTTTTTGAAGGAGAATCGTTTGTTCTTCTTCTTCTTTGGCGTCTCCGTCTCACTGGTGGAGGCCGGGGCTTCCTCAGGTTTGGCCTCACCCTCAGGGGCCGCTTCCACCTTGTCTGCGTCGGTGCCGTTCTCTGCAGGGGCCTCGGCTTTGGCCTCTGCCTCCTCCTCCTTCGGGGCCTCTGCTGCCGGAGCGCTGCCGTTGGCGTGCACTTCCTCTTTGCCGCCTTCGACTGCAGCGTCACCGTTGGCTTTGACGTGACCGTTCTCCTGAAACACACACAGGAGTCAGCCAGGGGCCAAACCGGGACCATGTGATTCCACATTCCAGTATTTTTTTTTGTTCAACTGAGGGATTGTATTGTCACTTTTTACTGCACTGTGATTATTTATGATTTTAACATTTACGGACTTTGGTCTCTGCCTCTAAAGGACCAATGGCTCTATGTTTTTTTTCTTTTTTTATCATTGCATTTCCTGTGCTTGAAGGGTTCGAGTCCCTGATCTAAAGTCTATTCAAGACTATTCAATAATACATTTAATGGAATGATTTTAATGCCTTGTGTGATTGTTTCTATCATGTTTTGTTGAGCACTTTTGAGTTTCCTTGTGTATGAACTGTGCTTTACAAAAAACTTGCCCATACTAATCCATGACAGCCTTAACCCTTGTGTTATCCTTTTTGTTTTGTTTTCGAGCTGAGTTTTGATGTTTTTCTATAGCTTGACCATCCCCAGACCCTAATTTAAGCTAGTTTCTTCTACTTTTAATCACGTGTAGTGTTTCTTTTTGACCCGAGATATGTGTGACAAAGTTTCTGTAGCAGTTGCGTCTCTCTGCCGGCAGGGGGCAGCGTCTCTCCACACTCTCTATATGATCCAAACAACAGCTGCGCGTCTCACCCACCAGCCTCAGACTGCTGCATCTGCCTGGAGTGTGAACTGTGACAAATCAGCCCAGTGTCCGGACCAGTGCTGCCTCCCACTGAGCCCCCTGCTCTCCCCCCTGCTCTCCCCCTCCCACGACCCCGCAGCAGCAGCAGCAGCCGCCGGGGACAAAAGGCGTGGTGCTGCCTTTGTTGCCCTCCAAATCTACTACTGCTTCATCCAATGCACTTTTCAACCACACAACATTGAGTTTCCAAGTATTACAACTGCATGTATTGTGTTCTCCGTGTGTGATCTTACTACGATACTGTGTGTGTGTTGCAACATTGAAATTTCCCCATTGTGGGACGAATAAAGCTTTTCTTATCTTAACGTTTTACCGATACTGATGGACCTTAACAGTGGAAGGAACTGAGACAAAGTTACCATAACAGTTGTGTAAAGTTGGAGATTTTATACTTGCTTCTTTATCATGCTAAAGTTAGAGATCGAGTTTATCTTGTGCTGTGTGCTCCTCCTTCCTACTGTTCTGTAACTAGTGATGCAACACTGACATTTCCCGAATATAACTACCTCTCTTAATCTTTCGCACATATACAGATGCACAAAAAACAGTGCGTCTTATACTCCACTGCGCTCTATGTGTCAGTTTAGATTAGAGTACGAGTGAACTTTTTTCTCCAGTTTGCTCCGACAACCTTTACGCACGTCTGGCACCGGTGCTGGCCCCGCGGTGGTTTCTTACCTGGTGCTGGCCGTTGGTTTTGGCCGGTGACACGGCCGCCTCCCCGGGTTTCTCTGCCCCCAGCTCGGCTCTCCCGGTCGCCCTCGCTAGTTGCGCTCCCATTCTTTCAGCCGAACAAAGAACCCAGACTCAAAAAGGCAAAACAAACAAAGAGAAGATAACGGGGAGTCCCACTGTGCGTCCCTCCCGCTCGGACCTCAACACAAAAAGACGCACTGAATGATTCTCATCATTAATCAGTAGCTTGGCAAGAAAACACCTATTTCCTTTCAAAATCAACATCAGGGACATTCAAGAAAGTAATGTGTACATTTTTATTTCAGTGGCTCTACCTTATGCATTTATCTATAGGTTCAAAAAGGTTGTGGTTTAATTATTTTCGTAAATTTCCGATATAGCAGTGCAGTGATTGTTCCCTCTGATGAGTCAATGTAAAGTGTCACAGGACTGAACTAGGCCTTAGTAGAAGAACCGTGGTAAAGTACAGATGCACATGGTGTCTGTGCTATAGCCTTTGAGTAATCTATGCCGTAGTGTTGACGTTAAGACAGACACAGCATCATTACAGTCGATAATGGGTACAGTATAACTATGCTGCGGCGGTCCCCACTAATAACATGCACCAGAAAAATAAAACACTTTCACATACGTGTCCCCACTATGTTAGAAAAACCAGAGTGTGCTTGGAACATGAGTGACATCACAGCTAAACAAGTCTTGCTGAAATCCAAAAGCTCAGACTAAATCGTTCCGTTACAAAAACCAAGTCTGACCTGTGTGCTGGGGCCTGGAGGTGACTCTGTAGCCATCTCAGCCGGTCTGGAGACATGAGACGCTGAAGACTTGGCTGCTTGAGGTTGGTCTTTGGTCTGAAAAAAGAATTCATCATTAATCAATAGCTTGGCAAGAGAAACACCTATTTCCTTTCATGAACAACATCAGGGACAATTAAATGTAATGATTACTTTCTTGAGTATAGGTGGCTCTACCTTGTGCATTTATCCATAGGTTCTATGTATATATTCTGATATAGCAGTGCAGTGATTGTTCCCTCTGATGAGCTAATGTAAAGTGTCACAGGACTGAACTAGGCCTTAGTAGCAGAACCGTGGTAAAGTACAGATGCACATGGTGTCTGTGCTATAGCCTTTGAGTAATCTATGCCGTAGTGTTGACGTTAAGACAGACACAGCATCATTACAGTCGATAATGGGTACAGTATAACTATGCTGCGGCGGTCCCCACTAATAACATGCACCAGAAAAGTAAAACACTTTCACATACGTGTCCCCACTATGTTAGAAAAACCAGAGTGTGCTTGGAACATGAGTGACATCACAGCTAAACAAGTCTTGCTGAAATCCAAAAGCACAGACTAAATCGTTCCGTTACAAAAACCAAGTCTGACCTGTGTGCTGGGGCCTGGAGGTGACTCTGTAGCCATCTCAGCCGGTCTGGAGACATGAGACGCTGAAGACTTGGCTGCTTGAGGTTGGTCCTTGGTCTGAAAAGAGAATTCATCATTAATCAATAGCTTGGCAAGAGAAACACCTATTTCCTTTCATGAACAACATCAGGGACAATTAAATGTAATGATTACTTTCTTGAGTATAGGTGGCTCTACCTTGTGCATTTATCCATAGGTTCTATGTATATATTCTGATATAGCAGTGCAGTGATTGTTCCCTCTGATGAGCTAATGTAAAGTGTCACAGGACTGAACTAGGCCTTAGTAGAAGAACCGTGGTAAAGTACAGATGCACATGGTGTCTGTGCTATAGCCTTTGAGTAATCTATGCCGTAGTGTTGACGTTAAGACAGACACAGCATCATTACAGTCGATAATGGGTACAGTATAACTATGCTGCGGCGGTCCCCACTAATAACATGCACCAGAAAAATAAAACACTTTCACATAAGTGTCCCCACTATGTTAGAAAAACCAGAGTGCTTGGAACATGAGTGACATCACAGCTAAACAAGTCTTGCTGAAATCCAAAAGCACAGACTAAATCGTTCCGTTACAAAAACCAAGTCTGACCTGTGTGCTGGGGCCTGGAGGTGACTCTGTAGCCATCTCAGCCGGTCTGGAGACATGAGACGCTGAAGACTTGGCTGCTTGAGGTTGGTCCTTGGTCTGAAAAGAGAATTCATCATTAATCAGTAGCTTGGCAAGAGAAACACCTATTTCCTTTCAAAATCAACATCAGGGACAATTAAATGTAATGATTACTTTCTTGAGTATAGGTGGCTCTACCTTGTGCATTTATCCATAGGTTCTATGTATATATTCTGATATAGCAGTGCAGTGATTGTTCCCTCTGATGAGCTAATGTAAAGTGTCACAGGACTGAACTAGGCCTTAGTAGAAGAACCGTGGTAAAGTACAGATGCACATGGTGTCTGTGCTATAGCCTTTGAGTAATCTATGCCGTAGTGTTGACGTTAAGACAGACACAGCATCATTACAGTCGATAATGGGTACAGTATAACTATGCTGCGGCGGTCCCCACTAATAACATGCACCAGAAAAGTAAAACACTTTCACATACGTGTCCCCACTATGTTAGAAAAACCAGAGTGTGCTTGGAACAATGAGTGACATCACAGCTAAACAAGTCTTGCTGAAATCCAAAAGCACAGACTAAATCGTTCCGTTACAAAAACCAAGTCTGACCTGTGTGCTGGGGCCTGGAGGTGACTCTGTAGCCATCTCAGCCGGTCTGGAGACATGAGACGCTGAAGACTTGGCTGCTTGAGGTTGGTCCTTGGTCTGAAAAGAGAATTCATCATTAATCAGTAGCTTGGCAAGAGAAACACCTATTTCCTTTCAAAATCAACATCAGGGACAATTAAATGTAATGATTACTTTCTTGAGTATAGGTGGCTCTACCTTGTGCATTTATCCATAGGTTCTATGTATATATTCTGATATAGCAGTGCAGTGATTGTTCCCTCTGATGAGCTATTGTAAAGTGTCACAGGACTGAACTAGGCCTTAGTAGAAGAACCGTGGTAAAGTACAGATGCACATGGTGTCTGTGCTATAGCCTTTGAGTAATCTATGCCGTAGTGTTGACGTTAAGACAGACACAGCATCATTACAGTCGATAATGGGTACAGTATAACTATGCTGCGGCGGTCCCCACTAATAACATGCACCAGAAAAGTAAAACACTTTCACATACGTGTCCCCACTATGTTAGAAAAACCAGAGTGTGCTTGGAACATGAGTGACATCACAGCTAAACAAGTCTTGCTGAAATCCAAAAGCACAGACTAAATCGTTCAGTTACAAAAAACAAGTCTGACCTGTGTGCTGGGGCCTGGAGGTGACTCTGTAGCCATCTCAGCCGGTCTGGAGATATGAGACGCTGAAGACTTGCCTACTTGAGGTTGGTCTTTGGTCTGAAAAGAGAATTTATCATTAATCAATAGCTTGGCAAGAGAAACACCAATTTCCTTTCATGAACAACATCAGGGACAATTAAATGTAATGATTACTTTCTTGAATATAGGTGGCTCTACCTTGTGCATTTATCCATAGGTTCTATGTGTATATTCTGATATAGCAGTGCAATGATTGTTCCCTCTGATGAGCTAATGTAAAGTGTCACAGGACTGAACTAGGCCTTAGTAGAAGAACCGTGGTATAGTACAGATGCACATGGTGTCTGTGCTATAGCCTTTGAGTAATCTATGCCGTAGTGTTGACGTTAAGACAGACACAGCATCATTACAGTCGATAATGGGTACAGTATAACTATGCTGCGGCGGCCCCCACTAATAACATGCACCAGAAAAATAAAACACTTTCACATAAGTGTCCCCACTATGTTAGAAAAACCAGCGTGTGCTTGGAACATGAGTGACATCACAGCTAAACAAAACTTGCTGAAATCCAAAAGCTCAGACTAAATCGTTCCGTTACAAAAACCAAGTCTGACCTGTGTGCTGGGGCCTGGAGGTGACTCTGTAGCCATCTCAGCCGGTCTGGAGATATGAGACGCTGGAGACTTGCCTACTTGAGGTTGGTCTTTGGTCTGAAAAGAGAATTCATCATTAATCAATAGCTTGGCAAGAGAAACACCTATTTCCTTTCATGAACAACATCAGGGACAATTAAATGTAACGATTACTGTCTTGAATATAGGTGGCTCTACCTTGTTCATTTATCCATAGGTTCTATGTGTATATTCTGATATAGCAGTGCAGTGATTGTTCCCTCTGATGAGCTAATGTAAAGTGTCACAGGACTGAACTAGGCCTTAGTAGAAGAACCGTGGTATAGTACAGATGCACATGGTGTCTGTGCTATAGCCTTTGAGTAATCTATGCCGTAGTGTTGACGTTAAGACAGACACAGCATCATTACAGTCGATAATGGGTACAGTATAACTATGCTGCGGCGGTCCCCACTAATAACATGCACCAGAAAAGTAAAACACTTTCACATACGTGTCCCCACTATGTTAGAAAAACAGTGTGCACAGCTGAACAAGTCTGAGAGAAACTCAAGATCATAGAGACTGAAACATACTTTTACAAAAACCAAGTCTGACCTGTGTGCTGGGGCCTGGAGGTGACTCTGTAGCCATCTCAGCTGGTCTGGTGACATGAGACTCAGAGGACATGGCTGCATGAGGTTGGTCTTTGGTCTGAAAAAATAATTCAAGAGAAGACATATCTTTAATTTCCATTCTTGACCACAGATGAAATACTAATCAAACACTTAAAGCTCATTATAGAATTATGTATAATGAGTCAGATGAAAATTGAAAAAGAAATGTCAAAAACCCTGACCATCAGTTATGATATACCTGTGTTCTCCATGGGCAATCAGTCCCCCCATAGTCGTAGGTTATTTCTTCCCCTGGCTGTATATCTCTCAGGGCAAATAGACAGAGGTATGGTTTAGCTGCATGTACAATTCTCTTCATTTTACAATTTGGATGCCGATGGTCATCATTGACCACTCGTCCCAGGCTACCATCCTCTTGGGCAGCGTCAATACTTGGAAAAAATAAGGTAAAAAATGAGTGTGACTGTACAAAATTACTATGACATATCATTACTCTCATTATAGTATGTTTTTCAATCCTTTTATACCTCTCTTTAAATGTTTAATTTAGCCCTTACCACCATGATTTGTCTTTCCAACGGAAGTCGAACATAAAAACTGAACATTTTTTGTGATAGGTCCTCCTCCTCCTTTCAGACTCTTCAAATGGGATCAAATGCCCCCTATATTGCACCACAAAGTCTCCTTTAAAGAAATTACTTTTGGCAAACACACCTCGCCCTGTGGAAAGACATTACAAATGTTGAAAAATGATAGAGCTAATACATTTTTTTTCTTCATAAAATTAAAAAAACAAAACATGTTTTATATCCTACTAAAATGAGGTTACGAACATACTAACATTTGGAATTTAGCACACACACAGTACCTTTAAAGGAGTTAATGTACTTTATTTCTATTTCCTCCGTTTTATCCACTCCTTTTTCAATGTGCCTTGTTGCATCCAGGAGGGGACACGTCCTCTTTCGCTTTCCAGCCATAAATCTTATAAATAAAAAATAATACAATAAATAATAAATCAAAATACAAAGTATGGAGTATTAGCAATGTTACAGCCATTACTTTAAATGCAAATAGCAACACAAATCCTTTCTGACACACTTGACAGTATTACTAATGTCCAAGCGACAATGAAATCTTTCACTTTCTTTCATTTCCCTACTCTAACATGTCACAATTACCTGGTTTAAGAAAAAAATGTTTCTGAATGATAGTCAAGATACAGTATCATCCTCCTCAGACCACGTGCATCGCTCCCCATAGGCGATCAGCTAATAATAGCTAATAGCACTGGCTGTTAGCCTATGTTAGCATCAGGCAATGCCTTCTCAAACATCTACATTTCACACCACTACCACATACATACAGGCTCAAGTAGCATTTCCCAAAGAAATAAATGCCATACATTTGGCGTATTGTAGCTTACCTGTCGGAGTCTCCTGATTCTCAGATGCCGTGTGCATGCGCCACACCTGCTGCTTGTCTGGTCTCCTCTCTCACGCTGCTACTAGCGCGGCGCTCCGCGAAACGTAAGCTTTTATATATTTTTTTATGTTTTTTTTTTTTTTATGTCTCTTTTTTTTCTAACTAATGCTTATACTTATTGATGACAATACATTATGAAATCAACTTTAAAAGCTGTTTCGCACCGGCTTTCTGGGAGTTGTAAGAACTACAACTTCCAGAAATAGAAGTGACGCTAACATTGATAGTTAAGAGAACCAATCAGAAGCAGCAGTGGGCTGATCTGAAGAATTCCCTAAGAGGCTATTGGTTTAGTTTTGGCGCGGACAGATAGTTTGGCGCGGACAACACTAGGGATGCTGCTTTCGTTGCGATGAAAAAAGAAAAAATGAAGAAAAAAGCTAATCATGTGGACACACAGATTTTATAGATTTAATTACTTTTTATGATGGGATTCCAAAGAGAAGTGTAACCCTGCCAAGAAATCTGTAAGTTGAGTATCAAAACACTAACAATGGCATTCAAAACATGAAGTAAGATGCATATTGTATTGCGCTTTCAACGAATCGAATTGGTAAGCTACAAGCTACTGCTACTACTTACTAGGTGACACTAGCTCCTGCTATTATTTTTCTTCTAGCTCCGCAACTCCAAGTTCAAGGCTTAAAGATGCACTGCGTAACTTTTCAGATGCTTGCCGTTTTGCTGTCGTTCCTTTGCTTAGAATGAACCTTCGTAACGTGTTTCATTCCAAAAAACATGTTCAAAGGCGTCTTTACTGCTTAAAAATCCCAAATATTCCACTGGAATGGACCGCCTCTTTGCAGATATGACTCGTAATTTGGTTTTTGAGGTGGAAGCTACTGTGATTTATTTATGATTTATTTATGCCACTTATTTATGTCGATCTTCCAATATAATGACCTATATTTAGGCTTTATGAAATGTATGCATGCATACTGATCCTAATTGTTATTACACTATTACAGGCCAGGTTTCGGTTTGGACTTGCTTTCTGTGAGGACATCTGACGACAGTCTAGTCCGAGGTTAATTTTGTCCTGAAAAATCTGATGGTGCGGTAGGAGGCTCTGCAGCCACAAGCACACACATTCATTACCCACCTTTTACTCTTTGGATTCTATTTTTTGCCCCTTTCTGAGCTGGTCTCAATTATATATTTTTTCTTTTCCTATAAACTTAAAGCGTACCTAACTTTAAAAATCACCAAAAAGTAGGAATATTAATATAACTAGTTTGTAGCTCCCAATACAGTTTGGTTTTATCACATCGGCCTCAGTTGCATCTTTAGATAAATGTTTGAGTGAAAAAGAGAGTACCAGCCTTTACTCAACCAATCAGCTCACAGTTTTTAGAGACAAAATGTTTACTTGCAAAACAATGACAGCGTGTTAGGTTCTGATTTGTTCACAAAATGTGACTTAAGCAGGACTTCTGTTGGAACAAAGACGATGTATTTACAAAACCAAAAAAAGTTAGGTATTGCAAATTTAATGCGTGCGTTTTAATATCATATTTGTAAATATTTGTACATAACTTAAAATACCTCTTACCTATCTGTTTACTTTAAATACATGGAACATGCGGGTTGCACTTCTCATTGTCAGTTTGCTGCTATTTCAACATGTGTTTCACGTTTGTGATAAACTTGGTCATGTTGCGTGAGTATTTATGTTATGTAGTTATTGTAGTACAGTTGTCCCTCGCAATAACTCGGGCAATAACTTTCATGTTATTCAGAGCAAACTTTACACTGTTTCAGACTAAACCACAACTTGACCTGGATTATACCATGACTTGACCGAGACTTGCTGTACTCTCTGTGAGTGTGTTGACATTGTTTAATTGTTTGTAATGCTGCAAATACAAAGTGAAGGAATTAAAATATATAGTACTTTTTTGTAAAATGCATAGTAAACTATTTCTTTGGTGAAGTTACTGATTCACAACATGAAAAATAGCCTATACTGGTTGTGTATTTTGTCCTATTTTTTCTGGCAACTAGTGGTTACTACACAATAACATAGATATTCAGATAAATAGTGGTTGTAATATTCTTCAAGGGACAAAAGATGTCAATAGGGCTAAAGTCCCTCTTCGCAAATTGGTTTTTATCACTTGGTGGGGACAAGTGTGTGTAAAGTGTGTGTACATGCAGTACCATGTCTGACCAATAGAGGACGATACTGAGCTAAACACACTTTAGCACTCTTTTTCGGTTTTTGTGCATCATGGGGTCCATCCTGAAAATTTGTCAGGGCATCCCCCTGGCCTTCTTTTCAATGAATCTAATGCTCACCATGGTGGGGACCAGCATTTTGGTCCCCATCATGTTTCTGGTCCCCACGTCGTGACTGTGCTACTGGCCAGTAGTCCCCACCATGTGGTATAGACAAACACACACACACACACACACACACACACACACACGCACGCACACACACACACGCGCACACACACACACACACGCACGCACGCACACACACACACGCACTCACACACACACACGCACGCACTCACACACACACACACACACACACACACACACACACATACGGCTCAGAGAATAGACTTTAAACTTTCCATGGCCTCGCATCAAAGTAAATCTGTGACATGTTAGTGCCGTATGAACCAACTGGGACTCTGAGGAGCACAGGGACTGGCCTCCTGCTGGGACTCTGAGGAGCACAGGGACTGGCCTCCTGCTGGGACTCTGAGGAGCACAAGGACTGGCCTCCTGCTGGGACTCTGAGGAGCACAGGGACTGGCCTCCTGCTGGGACTCTGAGGAGCACAGGGACAGGCCTCCTGCTGGGACTCTGAGGAGCACAGGGACTGGCCTCCTGCTGGCACTCTGAGGAGCACAGGGACAGGCCTCCTGCTGGGACTCTGAGGAGCACAGGGACTGGCCTCCTGCTGGGACTCTGAGGAGCACAGGGACGGGCCTCCTGCTGGCACTCTGAGGAGCACAGGGACGGGCCTCCTGCTGGGACTCTGATGAGCACAGGGACTGGCCTCCTGCTGGGACTCGGAGGAGCACAGGGACTGGCCTCCTGCTGGCACTCTGAGGAGCACAGGGACTGGCCTCCTGCTGGTCCCAGAGTCAGGTCTAAACATGTTGAGACAGTGTTTCAGATTCATGCAGCTACAAACTTGAACAGTCTTCCTGAAAATATGAGACAGGCTTCTTCTCTGACATTGTTCAAATCCAGGTTAAAACCGCTCTGTTTTTCTGCAAATACAACTGAAGGGTTGAATCTTGTCTCTTTTTAATGCTCTATGACCACCTACGTTTCCTCTGCCTATGATTTACATGTTTACTTTCTTGTTGATGAACTGCGCTATACAAATAATCTCGCCGTTCCTTAAAATCAAATCACCAAAACCACAAAAAGCGCTGATAACAGTTTGCATTCTGTCTGCATTGTGTCTATTCCCGCCCAGAAGCAGCAGAAGAGAACCGTCGCCTTCACACCTGTAATTATCGCGCCGTTGTGTAAAAATAGCTGACCTAAAACACAGGGACTAACTCATGTCTCATCACATTATGTACCTGATCTATACTTCCGGTTTGGTTGTTTTATCGCGGTGGAGACGGTGCTGCTGTCTCTGTAGTTGTGACCCACATGAGGAGGATGGAGTGGGCTGTAAACTGGAGCACAGGGTTCGGAGGAGCTCATTAATCCCGGTGTGTAACAAACACATAATCTCCCCGACTCCAGCCCTGAACCATCATGGACTCTTCGCGCAAATTCACCTGCTACTAATGCTAGAACTCCCACAGCAGTCAATTTGACGGGTTTGCGTTTTGGTAGCGTGAAGAGTCCGCATATGTAAGTATTGTAGTATAGTTCAGAATCAGAATCAGAATCATTTTTATTGCCACGTAAGTAACAGGAGGTCACAGACTTGGAAATTGCTTTGGCTCAGTGCAACAGTCAGAAAGAGATAATAAAAATAAGAATAAAAAACACTTCTAAAGAATAAATTTAAATTTAAAATAGAGTTACAGTTACTATTTACAATATACAAGTGCACATGGTGCACACAATGTAAGGTGAAGTAAAGTGACGTATGATGGGCAGTAAAGTGACTTTATAAAGGGCGGGGGGACAGGTTAAGAAGTGTTCAAGAGTCCAACAGCAGAGGGGAAGAAACTGTTCTTGTGGCGGGAGGTTCTAGTCCTGATGGACCGCAGTTTCCTGCCTGAGGGGAGTGGTTGGAATAGTCCATGTGCAGGGTGAGAGGAGAGTGGTTGGAATAGTCCATGTGCAGGTGAGAGGGGAGTGGTTGGAATAGTCCATGTGCAGGGTGAGAGGAGAGTGGTTGGAATAGTCCATGTGCAGGTGAGAGGGGAGTGGTTGGAATAGTCCATGTGCAGGGTGAGAGGAGAGTGGTTGGAATAGTCCATGTGCAGGTGAGAGGAGAGTGGTTGGAATAGTCCATGTGCAGGGGGACAGGGGTCGGCTGTGATACGACCAGCCCGGCCTCGAGCTCGGGCGACGTACAGGTCCTGCAGCGATGGAAGGCTGCGGCCGATCACTTCCTCTGCAGAGCGCACAATGCACTGTAGTCTCTGTTTGTCCCTGACTGTGGCTCCAGCGAACCACACGGTGATGGAGGAGGTGATGGAGGAGGTGATGGAGGAGGTGATGGAGGTGATGGAGGAGGTGATGGAGGAGGTGATGGAGGAGGTGATGGAGGAGGTGATGGAGGAGGTGAGGGTGGACTCGATGATGGCCGTGTAGAACTGCAGCTTGGCTTTCCTGAGCTGCCGCAGGAAGTACATCCTCTGCTGGGCCTTCTTGATGAGGGAGCTGATGGTCGGCTCCCACTTGAGGTCCTGGGTGATGGTGGGGCCCAGGAAACGGAAGGACTCCACAGAAGTGATGGGGGAGTCCATCACGGAGGGTGGGGGCGGGGGGGACAGTGCTCTTCCTGAAGTCCACAATCATCTCCACTGTCTTCTGGGCGTTCAGCTCCAGGTTGTTACCACTGCACCAGGACACCAGCCGGTCCACCTCCCTCCTGTAGGAGACACCAGGACACCAGCCGGTCCACCTCCCTCCTCTAGGCGGACTCATCGTTGTTGGAGATGAGTCCAATGAGGGTGGTGTCGTCCGCGAACTTGATCAGCTTCACGGAGTCGTGGCTGGAGGTGCAGTGGTTGGTGTACAGGGAGAAGAGCAGGGGAGAAAGAACACAGCCCTGTGGGGCTCCTGTATTTATAATCCGAGAGTCGGAGTCATTCTTCCCCAGACGCACTCGCTGCTTCCTGTCCGTCAGGAAGTCAGTGATCCACCTGCAGGTGGAATCGGGCACGTTGAGCTGGGAGAGCTTGTCCTGGAGCAGGGATGGCAGGATTGTGTTGAAGGCAGAGCTGAAGTCCACGAACAGGACCCTGGCGTAGGTCCCCGGGGAGTCCAGGTGCTGTAGGATGTGGTGGAGGGCCAGGTTAATGGCGTCGTCTACAGATCTGTTGGCTCTGTAGGCGAACTGCAGGGGGTCCAGGAGGGGGGAGGTGAACTGCAGGGGGTCCAGGAGGGGGGAGGTGAACTGCAGGGGGTCCAGGAGGGGGGAGGTGAGGGACTTGAGATGGGAGAGAGAACCAGGCGTTCAAATGACTTCATGACGACAGACGTAAGTGCTACAGGTCTGTAGTCATTGAGTCCTGTGATCCTGGGCTTCTTCGGGACGGGGACAATGATGGAGGATTTGAAGCAGGCCGGTACATGGCAGGACTGCAGAGAGGTGTTGAAAATGTCAGTGAACACAGGAGTAAGCTCACTGGCGCAGTGTCTCAGAGTGACCGGAGACACGTGGTCCGGGCCAGGAGCTTTGCGGGGGTGCAGCCTCAAGAAGAGTTGTTTAATCTCTTTAGAGGCTATTGTCAGGCTGGGGGCAGGGCTGATGGGTGGGTCGAGTTAAAAAGTAAAAACAAAAGAAAAAGAGAGCAGCAAAGAGCCATGTCGACCGTACGAGGCGCCATCTCGAGAAAGATGGCGCCTTAGTTGGTAGCATATGTACTTTGTGAGTTTGTCTGTCTCTGTCTATATTTTAGTTCAATGTCATTCAAGATTCATGAATGGATTTGACATTTGCAGTAAATCCACATTTGAAAAACTCTTTTATATTTGAAATGCAAGTAATTTTCATTTTCAGTCGCTTGGCAAACAACATTTTATACCAGTGAAAGCTCCTTGGACTGGTCCTGGACTGGTTCTGGTCCAGCTTGGTTTTCCACTAGAGAAGAGCAGATGCTAGTTACCACAGAAGGGTTCCTTAGTTCTTTCGGCCATGAGAATTTACAACTGAACTCTCCGAGGGGGACACTCTGACAGAAGTGAGGCAACCGGTCTGTGTCATCTTCCCCTCACCTACGCAGACACGGGGAGAACATGGAAACTCCAATAAGAAAGACCCTCTTCCAGCCGGGATTGGATTTCAGGAACTTCTTGCTAACCACTCAGCCACCATGCAGTTCACTGTGGTATATGGTGTTCCCAGAGGTCTCCTATTCCTGCTCTAACCAAGCCCTGCCCTGCTTAGCTTCAGAGATCTGATAAGAACTGGCTGTCCAATGAGAGTTTGACCACAGATTGAGAGAAGAAGAAATGAGTAGGACTAAAAATTAAACTTTTGAGGCTTGAAAATGATTTAAAATGAAAAGTATTGATGGATATAATTCATCTCCAATACTTACATAACTTTTACATGATGTCCGGTTCTGACTTTAATGTTTTGCGAGAGTATCTGAGAACCAGCACTTAGCCTGATTGGTCCCGTTAGAGACCCGGGCCAAGTCTTCACACGGAGCGTCCCGCAGCAGACCTAATCAGGCTGGTTCCGGTGAGAGCGGTGCTTACCACGATTTATGGCCCTCACTGCGACTGTGTCACTTTTATCACAGGCTGGAGTCGGACTGAGAAGGTGAAGTGTTAAGTGACATTTTGGTAATATGCAGTGTGTGTGTGTGTGTGTGTGTGTGTGTGTGCGTGTGTGTGTGTGTGTGTGTGTGTGTGTGTGTGTGTGTGTATGTGTGTGTGTGTGTGTGGAGGTTGTGAACTTGTCTCTGAGAGCAGATAGAAAACACAATAAACCTTTTACATCATGTGCCGAACAGAATAATATAAACAAAAGCAGCTTCCAGTCTGAACTTCTGCTGTAGCTTCTTTATCGCACACTGCACAAAGTACTGAACTGCAAAACATGATCAAATATGAAGTTTTAATTGTGTTTTTGGTCCTGATCTGGGCACATTCTGACAGAAAATTCTCTTGTTTTGAAAAGAGACAGAAATATCTTCCTTGGAATGAGCAACAGTTTGAGAGAATCTTGTTTTGAGCCAGTCAGAAAGTGCTCAGATTAGAACCAAAAACACTTATATTCAAGCAATTATTACCTCTTAATTCGGGACCACAACCAATAATCGATGATATTTAAGGATCTGTATATAACAATGCATTGGTTTTATACAGCGCTTTTTTTAAATATACAAAAAAGTTCTCTGTAAATATAGTTTTTCCTCACGTTTACACCGGACTGTCTTCTCCCCGTCAGGTCCAGATGTGGTCCCAGTGTGAGCCGGACTTTGGGACGCTGATGCAGGAGTAAATCTATAGAAACCTGGTCTCGATCCATCACTGTTATGTGAGGCCCGGGGCGCCCACCGTGCCCCAGATGGACGTGACAGATATGTTTCTCTTAATGCGCTGATATACGAGGGCCTTTCTGGACATTACAGTGGGAATGATGCTGGTCAGCAGGTTGGAATGGTCCCGGGGTCAGGGGTCCGGTGTGATCCGCCGGGTGAGCAGTCCATAACCCGCTCCTAAGTGTCCAGTCACATCACAGAGCAGACATAACGACCCAGAGAGCCACGTCCCTCTGCTCCAATAACACGCGCCGAAGATGACAAACGTTTACATATTTCATTATGAACTGCAGGTTTCACTTGAGCGCCGCGGAAAGAGACTGTTCTAGTCCAGGTCTCAGGGCTCAGGTCTCTGCACTGGCTTCAAGCAGAGAAGAGACTTTAAGGCAAGTCTCTCCAAGGCCTCACACCAAAGTATCTGTTATCTGTGACATGTTAGTGCCATATGAACCAATGAGGAGCACAGGGACAGGCCTCCTGCTGGGACTCTGAGGAGCACAGGGACTGGCCTTCTGCTGGGACTCTGAGGAGCACAGGGACTAGCCTCCTGCTGAGACTCTGAGGAGCACACGGACGGGCCTTCTGCTGGGACTCTGAGGAGCACAGGGACTAGCCTCCTGCTGGGACTCTGAGGAGCACAGGGACTGGCCTTCTGCTGGGACTCTGAGGAGCACAGGGACTGGCCTCCTGCTGGGACTCTGAGGAGCACAGGGACTGGCCTTCTGCTGGGACTCTGAGGAGCACAGGGACTGGCCTTCTGCTGGGACTCTGAGGAGCACAGGGACTGGCCTCCTGCTGGGACTCTGAGGAGCACAGGGACTGGCCTTCTGCTGGGACTCAGAGGAGCACAGGGACTAACCCCCTGCTGGGACTCTGAGGAGCACAGGGACTGGCCTTCTGCTGGGACTCTGAGGAGCACAGGGACTAGCCTCCTGCTGGGACTCTGAGGAGCACAGGGACTGGCCTTCTGCTGGGACTCTGAGGAGCACAGGGACTGGCCTCCTGCTGGGACTCTGAGGAGCACAGGGACTGGTACCTCCTGCTGTTCCCAGAGTCAGGACTAAACATGAGGAGGTAGCATTTCAAATTTACAAAGACTTTCTGAAAATGTGAGACAGGCTTCTTCTCTGACCATGTTCAAATCCAGGTTAAACTTGGACTTTAACCAGAACTAAACCAGAACTAAACCAGGACTAAAGCAGGACTAAACCAGAACTAAACCAGAACTAAACCAGGGCTAAACCAGCATTAGTTTGAATGTGTGGATGTCTCTGTACCAGTTCTCTCAAGTAGAAGACATCTATGGTCAGTCCCTTGTTGTTTATTCTCGCTTGTTCACCGAGATACCGTTTTAAACCGTGCCGTCACTTAGTGTATATATAGAAGTTTGGATAGCTTCCTGAAGTGCGTCTGACTTTGAACAAGAGGCATTAAAAAAGCTTTTGGCACAGACTGCGGGTTAATCGCCGACAGTGAGGGCTCGGGTTTCCACAAAAAAGTGCCGTATTTGCTCGTGCATGTTATTGGAGGAGCGGGGTAGAATCCACAGGACATGGAAGACAGACCCTAAGTGGAACTGTGTCCTCAAAGCAGGAACTTATTAGAGGTTTTTTGACACTCATAAATCAAAATGGCGGCTGTCAGATGAATTCACCGCCACTTGACCGAAGAATGTAATTTCTGTTCTTAAAGCTGGTTTTCCTCTTGAAGGTTTATGTGTTTATGAATTCATTTTATACTTGCTTTTATATTATACTAAAGATATAGGCTTTATACTTTATTCTTATTATGCTAAAGTTAGAGATTTTAATGTATTTTATTTAGTTATTGTTGAAAAAAGGACCTGTACCTCCATACACAGTGGTGATAAACAACTACTGTAGCCACAACTGCCCTGGGGCACATTGACAGACGCGAGGCAACCAGTCTGTGCCATCAGCCCCTCCCACCACCACCAAACATTCACACACACACACACACCAGACTCATTCTACTGTGGCTGAATTGTCTTGCCAAAGGACACAATGCCAGTTTTCCACTTTACGGCCGCCCCACTGTGGCATCTGGTGTTCCAAGAGGTCTCCCATCACACCATTAACCAGGCCATGCCATGCACAGCTTAAAAGGATCTGGCTTTCACATGCAGCTGTGGCTAGACAACTCTGTTTGTTCTGTCAAAAAGAGAGACAAAGGGACCTATACCTCGTCTCACTTCTCCAGAGACCACAGTCACACCATCACACGCCTCT